AGGAGGAGGAGGAGGAGGAGGAGGAACTGGAACAAGGGAACATGCAGTGAAGCGGGTGAGGAAGGCGCTAGAATTGCCAAAAATAGCCTATAGTACAGAGGCCTAAGGTAAAGTGAGTGAGCTGTAGTACTTACCTCAGAAATCTCGTTAGAACTGCAAGTTACGGTCAAGTTGGGCAAATTGTCCGTGGGTGCCAAGTGGACAACCACCTCGACAGGTTCGGAGCAGAGCGAATCGCCCGTAATTGGTTGATCACAGGCCTCGACCTGGAAACTGATTACACCAGAGTGGGTTTCTGTTGGAGTGACTGCTCGATTAAGTAATAGCTCGCCGGTATTGGAAGCGATGGAGAAAGGTAGAGGGAACGAAGAGTTTGGCATCTGGCTGACGCCTGGAAATCGATATATCACGTGGGCATTGCTGCCCAAATCTATATCGTCGGCGGTAACTCGGAGAGGAAGACTGACAGGTGCTGTAGATGAAGATTTCCAGGCGGCCTCACCATAATCCTTTGGCTGTATAGTGATCTGGAAGAGGAAGATGGGTGTAGGGTGTCAGGAAAAATTAGCCGTAATCTCACGAGACAAGGATGTACGCCTGTACAGACTAAAGAACACAGTGACTGCGCTTCGGCAAACTGGAACGGAAAGGCATTTCACAGTGCGACAAACAATGATGGAGGTGGTAAACGTTCACCTTTGCTGCAGAGGAAAACGAAACACTTGCATTCAAGGGCACAATAGAAAAAGGTAAATTGCCAAGCGTTCCGCATACGTGTATGCCGAAAAGAATATAATTAACTAGGGCAGAAAAGACCTGAGACGGCTCCTCAACTCTCACTGAAAACAAATTCCTAAATAACCGTGACGACAAGAACTGACGGTACACGAAAAACATATTGCGCTTGCGGAGTAGTGGAATTGCCGGCACGAGTCCTAGTCAGCGGAATAATATTGCATATTGCAGTTGAAAAAAAGATTTGACGGTAACTTTGTGTAGCGGATGTGCCATCTGAAGCAAAATATGACAGGCCCTCACGTGGATTTAGTTACTTTGAATATCGCTATAAAGTTAGAGAAATAATTTCCCCTCCGGTATGCGTAGTTCAAAAACGACATTACTAAGGGAACTGCTATAGTTTTTGAAATTTTTAAAAATCCAATTTGTTTGTCTTGGTTTTCATTCATTTCACTGTAATCGTCGAAATTTCGGGTGAATATGGCAAGTTCTCGCAATTCCGTCATAATTTTCTCATAAAATAAACTCTTATCATGAACTCGCGAGTATGTAATTGCAACCAGTGTTTTCGGAAGCCCTTGAGATTTTCAAAGGATTTTGCACATGAAATATCTGAATCCGAAATAAGTTTTCGACTATAAAAGAGTTTCAGGTAAGGTTATAATATTCGTTGTCGTGTAGAATAATCCAAATATATTTCAGTCACGCTAGGAGGACGGATTTCGAATGAACTTTTTTTTCCTTACGGGACTGGAATATCTTGTGAGTATGCTATATGACAATCAATATTACAATTCTACCTGAGAATTCTTTTTCTAATCGAAAAAATATCCCTTTCAAACTCCGATTAACCTTGCCTGCAATGGGCCAGATACTTCACTTTTGCTTGAAATAAATTAGATAAGTTCTATCAGACTCACTAGTATATC